AGGTTCGCACATTATCTAGAAAGGACAAGTGTTACGAGCCTGGCATGGAAACCCCATCCATGATCCTCAGACCTTCAGATTTTATTGTGGAGTATGGTGCTAGCAATCCAGTTCTCTTCATCTGGTCCCTATTGTCCAATAAATCGTTTGCAGTTCAAATCCATTGGGCCCTAGAAAATACCAGTCTGACTTGGCATTCACACACCACAATGGGATCCTCTACCACAAGGAGCGCATCTATGTGCCCGAGGGGACACCCAGGCTCCATGTCCTAAGACTCTGCCGTGATGCTCCTCTGGTAGACCACTTTGGCCAGTGTCTAGAAGCTTATGGTGGCCAGCCCGGCATGCTTCTGTAGCAACTTATGTGAGGTCTTGTGATCTCTGTGCCTGGACGAAGAATCCTTGTGTCAGACCACTGTGTCTTCTGCAGCCCTTGCCCACCCCATCTCAGCCCTGGACTTTCTTGTGGAACTGCTGCCCTTCTAAGGACACAGTACAACCCTAGTGGTAGTGGATCTTATGAAGATGCTGCATTTTATACCACATTTGAGGCTTCTACACCGCCCGAGAGACAATGGCTTTTTGAAGAAAATGTCTTTTGCCTTTGTAGGTTACCAACAACACAGTTTCTGATTCGGAATCCCAGTTTGTTTCTCATTTTTGGCAGGAATTCCTGCGCCTTCCAAGAATTAACACCTATACCTTGACTGCTTACCACACAAAAACCAACAGCCAGAGAGAACAGATCAGTCGGTTTCTGGAGCAGCACCTACACTGCTTTCTTAATTACCATCACTTATCTTTCACAGAGAATTCACCTACAACAGTGCCATTCGTGTCTCCACCCAACTGTCCCCCTTCTTTTGCTAAGCCTAGATTGCACCTTCGCTTCCCCCCAAGATCCTCACCAAGTCCCCAGTGCCTGCCATTTCTGACCTTACTGTTTGCATCCATCAGGTGCACCAAAAGCTTAAACGCTGGTCAGAAGAAGCTAAGGCAGCCTTCCAACTATATGCCAGTCCGCACTGTCAGCCAGCCCCCAGCTTCTCAGTGCGGCATGAGGTCTGGCTGTCTGCCCAGAACCTTAAATCTACTCGCCAATCTACGAAGCTGGAGCACCAGTACTGTTAAGGAAAAGTTAGCACATGTGACTCCATTTTGGTTTGGGGCCCACCATTGTCTAAAAGCAACCACATCATGCACCAGGAGGAGTGTTCCTTAGATACTGCATTCCTGTGAAAATCCTCCTCCTTGTCTCCAGCCTGCCTTGACTCCCGGTATCTGTTCTTTGTCTCTAACTCCCTATCTCCTGGCCTTTGATGTGAGGCCTTCCACCCTGATAATAAAAGTTACTGATGCATCGCTTTAGGACCATGCTGTGTAATTAACATACTAGTTTAGCACGAGGAATGCACCAAGCAGGGATAGATGGTAGATAAGAAAAGGGTTCGTTTATTGGCTAAGGTTTCTGATGCACAAGGGCAACATGCTTTGCTAGGAGGTATATAACCTTTGTATAATCTGTATTCGGGGTCCCCTCCTGGCTAGCAGGGGGGCACCACGCTCGAGCGTAATAAACTTGGTGTTTTTTGGGAGCTCTTCAGTTGTGGACTTTATGTGCCTCAGCCTAGATTTGAACTATGCGTGACCTACCAGGTGTAATTCGTATCATTTGTGTGCGTGTCCTACCAGGTGTAATTTGCAGCAGTTGTGTGCGTGTCCTATCAGGTATGATTTGTAACAGTACTTGGGGGGCCCTTTTAGATTATGGAACAGATTAATCTAGTAACCTTCAGGCTACAGCTATTGGAATCCTTTCAAGGACTGTCCCATATTCATATCTCCCCGTTAAAACTACATACTGCAAATCCCTTTCACTGCCCCACACTACCGATAACCATTCAAGAGTAGGAAGAATACACAGTGTGGGAAATTTTGGACTGTCACTGATGAAGGCTCCAGTACTTAATTGACTGGGAGGGATATGGCTCAGATGGGAATCGGGGGAACATATCCACGACCCTGACCTGCACGCTTTTCATTACGCCTGATTGAAAAGAACAGGCCTTGAGGACCCCAGGAGTTACACCCAGGGGGTGAGGGTAGGGGGATATTGTCAGCAATCAAAGCTTGCAGGAGTCAGGCTTCTGGCACTCCAATAAGCAAAGCTGGCCTACAGCAGGCTACCTGATAGATCGCACATCTGATTGGTCAGGAACGGCAGCTGGCTGGCTTTTGAACCTAGCAACATCAGCTCTCCGGCTGCTCAGTGCGTATCAAGCTGGCAGGTGCGCTTGCCCTTGTTCCATCCTTGCTCCTGCTTTGTTGCAGCCACGGTTCCTCTTCTGCTCCTGCCTCTCTGGTACTGGTCCTTGGCTCTGCCCCTGGTTTATGACTCTGGTTGACCTGCCAGCTCCGGCATTAGACTCCTATCTCTCCGTTACTGACCCTTTGCTTGTTCCTGGACTCTGCCCATCCTGGACCCAGCTCTAACTGGTAGGCTTAACTCTTGCTTTAGCCACTAGGCTAGACTGTCCACAGCCCAGTCTCTAACAGGTGGAAATAAAAGAACTCATTGCCCTTTTCAAAAAGCATATGCAGTAACCTCATGGTATGCTGATCACCATTCTCTCTCTTACATCTCCCTCCCTTCCCAAACTGGAAGGGAGAAGAAAATGGTGCCATGTTCAAGGGTGTGTATGTGTGAGCTCTTGCTAATAACATAAGGTTTCTCTTCCTACACAGTCAGTGCACTACCAGGGTTTGTGTTGTTAAAGATCTTTGGGTATCTCATGCATGAAAGGTGCTAAATATTATACTACTTATTTATTATTTTAAGATAATTTCTATCCTATTCTAGCATACTGCTTCTGACATTAATTTCACCAAAACAGTCACAAAACTGTGTCTGTGTTTAAAAAACCCAAGTACCTCCAAAACATCTTTCCCCCCTCCCCCCAAAAAATAAAGCCTGATCCAATTGTCTGGACAAAAATATTCTGAAGACAGGATATGGCAGTGGAACGTTAAGCCATAAACATTAATTTGTTCTAGGTACTCTCAAAAATCTATGTCCCTGGATTGTTATGAGCAATCACGTGTTTGGTTATGTCATACAAAATCAGCTGTACTTCTCTGAAGTCCAAACATACCGAATGCATAAGTGTCTTGAAACAGTTGGGCATGTTGTGATGTAGATATTGGAAATGCCTGTTACGTTGCCCTGAAAGTATCAGCTGTCAAGCAGTATGTTGCCTTTAAGGGCCCCTGTCCGCAGTAGTATCTGCGGGTAATCTTCTGTATCCTCCCACTGACCTTGAAGTTCTCATGTTACTATAATCTGTGCTTCTTGACTGCAGACCTTAATTGCTGCACTACTGGTCCTCCGCTTAAACACTGGAGTTACTGAGTTCTGTGACATTCAGTCACAGTGTTAACTCCTAGGGAATTCTGTGCCACTGCATGCACATAGAATTCATGTCCCCTGCAGATGTCTTTGCTTCCATGCAGAAAAATGACTTTCTGATGGGGAAGCAAAGCGAGGCTGTAAGAGCCGTCACGGTCACACACTCCTCCCCAGCAGCATGGGCATGTTGTTTTGGGTGCCTTGGAGCAACTGGTGGAGAGGTAAATCGCTGCTGGGGATGCTCCGGCTGGTGGCTCCTACCTTGTGCCAGGCTCAGCTGATAGTCCCGGCTTGGCTTGGGGTGGGGGAGGACAGGACTTCTTCATCCCCTACAAGGTGCAGCCGGGCCCAGGTCAGACCCACCCCCAGAAACCTCCCCTGGCTGCAGGAAACTCCGAACCCTTCCCTGCTTCCTGCCTCCATCACTCCTCAGCCACGAGGAGAGGGGTCATTGTTTGGGAAGCTGCTCCCCTGTTCATCCAATCCCCGTGCATCCAGACTCCCTCATACCCAACCCCCCGATCAAGCCTCATTCCCTGCACCCAGACTGTCCCAGCACTCGAATCACCACCCTGATGACTCCCACCCCCCACGCAGTGAGCCCCTTGCACCCAGACTCCTACCCCACTGAGTCCCCCCCAAAGAGCCCTCTGCACCCAAACCCCTCCCCTGCTGAGCCCCAACCATAGGTGCTGGAACTGGGGATGCTGCTGCGCCCCCTGGCTTGAAGTGGTTGCCATCATATAGAGGGTTTACAGTTCGGTTCAATGGCTCTCCGCACCTTCACTATACAAATTGTTCCAGCACCCCTTATATCCTGCTGGACTGAACCTGCCTGCCTGCTCCTGGCTTCTGGGTCAGGTGCAGCCTCACCGCCTTGTCTGTGTGTGTGTGTGGGGGGGGGCCTCCAGTGTGATCTTCCCACCTCCATGCAGCCAGTCGCCTTTGCTCTTCACTGCCATGCTGGAACCTCCACATTTTTTCATTGACAAAATTTGCAGAATTTTAAAATATTGTGTGTAGAATTTTTATTTTTTGGTGCAGAATTCCCTCATGAGTAGTTAATGGAATATTCTGATGTACTGCTTAAACAAATCAGCCTTGCAGGTGCTTTTAACCCAGAGCATCTTTCAGATTAAGCAGCAGTTAAAATATGACTCACATGGATGATACCTCACATATAATAATTAAGAGGAATTTTACTTTCTTATTCTCTGGCAGCCTGGGAGAGTGGCCAGTATTAACACATCTATGCCAGGAATGATAAACTTGTGTCTACGGAGTGGGGAGTAATCTTTGAGGATAAAGTGTTGTAGAAACCTATGTGGAGCCTCTGCCAGACTTAGAGAGACTAGAATGTCTACCAAACAGGAAGATATCTAATGTGTCTATGGTGCACTAAACAGCTACTGCCAAGGGACTAGTGTCAGTATATTACTATTGGTGCCTTCTAGTCTTTAAAGGTAAATCTCTTGCTTGGCATGAGAGAGAAGACGAGAGAGAAAATAAACAGTGTTGTGTTTTATAAAGTAAAATTTCTAGTGTTAATTTAGGTTTATGTACCATTTTTATGTCCTATTTTACATTGACAGATCAGGAAGGGAACCATTTTTCTACACTCTGGGTACTGGCGAGTGTTCTTCTTGGTGCAATAGCCATGCTGTGCAAAGAACAAGGAATTACAGTACTGGTAAGGTCTCTTCATAACCACTACATTCTGTCCTGAGCGTCCATAAGCTACTACTGCACACATGCTTCTGCAAATCTTCTCCACATCTGTAAACAACTTGGATTGTGCTTCTGCATTAGTCTAAGAAAATTGGCTTATGAATGTTAAACATTGACCTAGCCAGGCTCTGTGCCCAGTGCTTCTAATGTGATTCCTTTTGTGCTTGTTTGTGTCTCTGTGAGCAGCTTGCATGTACCTATAGAAGTCTCTAGTTGCCTACTTTGTAGACATTATAGTGCCAGTTTTAGTCTGTGCTTCATTAGATGCCTGTGTTCTTGCATGTCTGACTGTCATCTTGTGCCCACGATGCCAGCAAATCTACAAAGGGATTGTTCATAGATTAAATGAACAAGACTGATAAATGGCTGATAAAGAAGTTTTCGTATGCCCCACATCCCCCTTTTTAAAAAAAAACAAACAAAAAAACAGTTGACACTACCTAGTCAGAAGTAGCTGTTCTGCTTATCGCTTTTATTGATTCTCTTCCTTATTTTAAGCACGTATCTAAATAGGAGCCTTCTTGTTTGAGTTGATGTGCTTCTGTATCTTTTTACTCACCTGAGGTCGTCCTGTTTGTGATGACCCTATCGCTTCAACAGTAGCCTGGTGAGATGCCAGAATTGGGGTTTATTTCTACAGCTGGAGAATGGCTTCAGCTAGAAGTGGTAGGGATGGAGTAGTAGAACAGAGGAATACTTAAGGAATGAAGAACCTTGTTCATATTATTCTGAGTATAAAGAAAACAAGTGACAGAAAACATATCCTGGAGCGTAAGCAGAGTTGTTTTTAAATAGTCTATCTTTCAAAAGCATGTGTGGGAGACACAGAAGTAGCTCTCTAACTTAAGGTATGCTGTGGTTGTTTCTCAGAGTAGCATGACAATAATGTTTGAGTAGCAGCCTCAGCTTTTATTTTCTGTCTGTCTTTGTTGATGATGCATTGTTAGGATGATAATATTCATCCTCAAGCTCAGGGATAAGGGTTTCACAGTAAGAGAAGCACAGACCAAAGGGAGCAAAAACAAGGGTAAAGAAGAGCCATAGAAGCCACACACAAATGAATAGTGCCTCATGTTGAAATGCCCCTTTCCAACTGGATCCCTGCCTCCCTCTCTTCCTTGGTAAGCCAACCACTGTATACTGCCAGCTGGCCTCCTTGCATGGAGTCACTCTGAGGTTCATGCCAGTTTCCCTCTGATTCCTGTGGCTGACAGAGGCTGATTTGTTTTTTGCCTCTTAATGAGTAGAAACCCTTACCCTCACCTGGCAATGTGCTTCTGCTAGTTCCTTGTAGCCCTTAAGACACTAGATCATCTCCAAAGATAATATTAGGATGCTAGCTACATATCCCTCGTGCATAAGTGTTAAAGATTACTGAACATTTTTGGTGGGGGTGGGATGTATTTGACATAGAATATGCCATGAAAATAGCATGTCAGAATAAAAGGGTTACTGGAGCAGATGGATATATGGGACCTGATTCTGACCTTGTTTTCACCAGTGTAACTCCATTAACTTCAGTTGAATTACTCCTGATTTTAAGGTTTTGTCTGGCAAAGTGCTGAGAAACAAAGGCTGAATGCCCTCAGATTCTATAGAGATCTATAGAATTTTGCCAGAGGTTTTCAGTACCTTGCAGGATCAGGCACTTACATTGGTGTAATTCCAGTGAGAATCCTGCCTGGATCCTCTGTAACTCTGTCTAAGCCATTGCTCTGGCAACCTGTGTGACCGTTTAAAGAAAAAGGCGACTTGAAGCCATCCCACCAAAATATGCTTGATGCTTCACTGGTCCACAGAGAGAGGTAAGGGATGGGTGCCTTTTAAAAATCTACTTTATTGCACTAGTCCCTATGACTGCAACCCTGGGCTGCAAAAAGGGTGGGGAGGGCAGAGAGGAGGTGGGTAATGTTCTTATGCCTCCCATTACACATGCATAGGCCAGGAGGCTGCCTGGCCATGCACAGGGGTGCATGTGGCATCCTGTCAACTGCTGAGGCATGGTCTCCTGTAGTGTTCTTTCCTTTTCTTGGAGCACTGACTATATCCATTTGTAAAAGGTTCAGAATCAGAATTAAGAAGCACAGTGATTCACTATAGAAGTAGGATTTTTAAAATACCCTTTTAATAAATGAGTTCTTCTTTCTCTTTCTCTTGGTTATTTAGGGGTTGAATGCTGTATTTGATGCTTTGGTGATTAACAAACTAAATATTTTGGAACTTATTCAAAAGGTACTACGTAAGGGCAAGTCATTGGAGGTGAGTGTGCTCGGTCTCAGTTCATTCTAGCTGTCCAGGCAACAAAAAAGATGCCATTTTCACAGTTTTGTATGTGCTGGGAGTGAAATCAAAAAGGATATATAATTTGAGTCAGCAAAACAAGGCAGTGATCTGGAACATCTTTTCAGCAACAAGAGTGATCATGGTAGAGCATTGCTGTATCCAGCAAGACTTAAACCCCTGCATTTCATAGCTCTTTTCATAGCAATATATAAAGAGCTGATGTCCAAGTATTTAAGAAAGCTGTCTCTAACGTATGGAATCAGTCCAAGATCAGTCAAATGGATGTTGGCAACATCCGATTGGCAATGTGAAGAACGAATTATTTATCCAGATTTACAAAACAGATTTTAAGGCAGAAAAAGCAAGAGTTACAGCATGCACAGACGGTACTTGTTACGTAAGAGAATAATTTTCTCTTTTGGCAATCCAGCTCAAATACTTTTTCCCTCAGAACACAAATTGCCACATTGCCAAGAAAGAAAGAGGCCTCCTAGTATCTAAACATAGAAGCTGTGAATGAGAACCCATTTAATCCACTGGCAGTTACTGGAGGATAAACGGGTGTCTACAGTGGACCCTAATTCATCCATTATCAGGTAAAATGGAATCTGGCATGTCACACGTGCAATGGCAAGCAAATCCCAGAAATAACAAGCATTGGGTAAACTTTTGACTGCAACTGGATAGTCCCTCAAGAGAGAGGAGAGTTACTAATGACAAACTAATTATCTGTTCCTCCTGTGGAGGGTTCAACAAGGCAGAAAAATCTTCATTGGACTTTGCATGGTGTGAAACTGCAGAGAACCGTTGCTCCTCTGGTGCTTAGCTTAAGCCCTATGGAGCTTCCATAAACTCTGCAAGTGTGAATGAAGGGCCCTTTGGAGCTTAAAGAGGGATCTCAGTAAATGGGAGTGGACTCTGTAGAATTGAATCAGCCAATCTGGGCAAAGAGAGCTAGCTCAAGGGAAAGGGGTAGTTCTAGCGGCAAAAAGGAATGCCAGAGCACTCAACAGTGTAATTTGACTGTCAGTCAGTTTAAGAAAAGTGAGGAGTCTTGGGATTAGTAGGGGACTAAAGCAGAACCACTTCAGAGTTTTATTGAGGAAAATGCTTCAAAGATAAACCTTTTATAAGTGAAGCTCTTTACAAGGTGAAGAGTTGAAAGCATTGTTTCTGGTTTACAATTTTAAATCATTAGGACTATGTGTGGAAAACTTCAAATGCCAGTTTTCATGAAAATATGATGGAAAATATTAATAGCTCATTAATTTTAACTTCTCCTACCTCCAAAAATTGTTCTGATCTGTGCATGGAAATTCATCAGTCTTTGTATACAGACCATTTCAAGTTCCTTACAATTTCTCTCCCCCCTCCACCCCTAAATCCCCCAGGAGCCTAAAGAGACATTAAACTTTTTTTATCACAATTTCAGATCCAGACCCTCTTTTTCACATTTAAGCCTCAACCCTTGGCATAAGAATTGGACAAAAGAGCAGTGACGTTTCTTCTAACTTTTGTTTATTTTAAATTTTTCTCTCCACCATGATGATTTTCATGAAAGATAAACTTCCCTAACCACGTTGTGGAAAGTGACCTGAAAATGAGGTCATAATGGAAGACTAGAGGCAGTCTTAAGGATGGAATTCTTGTCTTGTTTCTCCATAATAAATCCTGTATAAACTGCAATAATATATTTTACAGTAAAATGTAGGTTTCTAAGTCACTTGGGCGTAGTCACACTTTTAAAAATTTTACCACAGTTTCCTCCTTGTCCCTGATTTTTACCCGTGCAACTTTCATGTATCAACATCAACACTGAATAGATTGAAATGGAGAAAAACACTTGTTTTGGAACAATATCATATACAAATATCTGTTTAAAACAGAACGCTAGTTAAATATTTCAGTTGTATTTAATTGAGATGTTTTTAAAATTAAATGCTCACAGTACATTATCATTAATTCTCAGTGTTGATCTTTCCAACATGCTGTATGCATATTTACAGCTGTTCCTCAAATCCCGACAGAAACTGACTTGAGAAATAACTTAAACTTCCAGAGATTGTTAGAGATGCTTCTTAAAGAAAAATTTTCCTTTTGTAATTCATTATCAAAAAAATTTTGTTTGCAATAAGTCTGTCTTTTCAAATTAATCAATGAAGACCACAAAATAAAACCAGAGAGAAGGGAATCCTCAACCTTTACTACTTTGTTTCTTGGTTGGTTGTTTCCCAAAGCCCCTACAATATATATCAGATCCTGTACAATCAGAAGGCACAGTCCTTCTTCTGAAGAGCTTCTTTCTTATTCTTTATTTGTAATAAATATTGTTGCCATAAAGCAAGTAGATACCCATGTGATAGAGAATTTGGTTCAATGGCTGAAAAACATTTATTCCCTTCGATATTTAGAATGCACAAATACCGTCTTCTCTCCAGCTCTTGCCGTTTTAGGTGGGTGGGAACAAGATCTGAAGGTGTTAATAATTTGTCCTGTTTTTGTTTTCTCCTGTAGAACGTTGGGTGGTTTAAAAAGGGACTCCTCTTCAGGATAACTCTTCTGTTGTCAGGAGGGGCCATTATGCTCGTCATGCGCTGGAGAATTATGGGCACAGGACCACCCGCTTTTACTGAAGTAGACAACCCAGCTTCATTTGCAGACAGCTTGTTTGTGAGAGTAAGTCACAAACCTGTCATACTTCCGCAAGTTCAAACAAATTGGGTCTTTAAAAGGAAAGTTCAGTTTTACTTCAGCACTTCAAAAAACAAACAAACAAAAAAACCCAGTAACAAAAAACCCCCCAATCAAATGAGTGTTTCTTGTATTTGTGGACTGTATGATGAATCACCTTTTTAGTAAATCTTGTGTGGTTTTATTTAATGTACTGTGTGTTTTCTTCCCCTCTTTTTCTATGTTTGTGGGAGAAGGAATACAATCCTTTTGCTGTCCTTTCCCTTAACACATATTGAAAGTTGGCCCTGCACTTTTCCTTCACCTTTGAATAAAATAACACCATGTTCTGGCTGGGTACGTGGCTTTGTACTGGTTTTTTTTGTTTTGTTTTTGTTTTTTTGGTGCCTTTGCCTACAATGGGTATGTCTACACTACAATAAAAGACCCGCGGCTGGCCCAGGTCAGCTGACTCAGGCTCGTGGGGCTCAAGCTTCGGGGCTATAAAATGGAAGTGAAGATGTTGGGGGTTGGGCTGGTGCCTGGGCTCTGGGACCCTCTCCACCTGTGGGGTCTCAGAGCCCAGGTTCCAGCCTGAGCTCAAATGTCTACACTGCAGTTTTATAGCCCTGCAGATGGAGCCCAAGTCAGAAGACACAGACTAGCTGTGGGTCTTCATTGCAATGTAGACATACCCAGTAATAAAGCTAGGCTTTTTTCACATTGCCTCGTATTTTGAGAGATTTGTCCCACCCAGATCCACATACATAGAGTATTGTCTACGATTGGATCTCCCATCCTGAACAGGAGAAGCATCCTGTGCTCGGAAAACATTTTTGATAAAAAAAAATCATCATATGATTTTTAAAAAATGCAAAATTAATGGACCTGTACGTAATTAGAATCATGCAGCATTTAAGTTAGGACACTTACTATTTTAAAGGATACATTTTGGGGGTGGAGCGGAAGGGAAACAAAGATCACAAAGAGTGCTGAAGTTGGATTTTTTTGGTGTGTGGGGGGGAGTTTAGTATCAAATAAATGTTTGTTTTCCTTTGACTGACAGGCTATAAACTATAATTACTACTATTCGTTGAATGCATGGTTGCTGCTGTGTCCCTGGTGGCTGTGTTTTGATTGGTCCATGGGCTGCATACCCCTTATTAAATCAGTCAGTGACTGGAGAATAATTGCACTAGCAGCACTTTGGTTCTGCCTAATTGGCCTGATATGCCAAGCTCTGTGCTCACAAGACAGCCATAAGAGAAGGTAAGAGACAGTGCTGGGTTTTAAATTCCACACTAGGTTAAGTACAGTGTTATTTTGTTAAATCCAGTACTGATCATTTTAACAATCCAGTGGAACCAATATCTAGCAAATGTATTTCAAATAAATATTTATAGCTGTTATTACAGTTTCATCCCAATTTGGGCGTTGACTACTGGGAAGCAAACTTGTAGAAAGGGGATGGATGGCTGCTTTATTTTCCTACTGAAATGGCATTTTGAGATCCTTAGCACTGTAGGTGGTAAAAAGTAATTTGTGGTGAGAGCAGAGTGTAATTGATGTATGTTGTGCCCCTCTTTTTACAATTCTTTTTTTCCTTCTTTTGTAATAAAGGGCCTTTTTTGAAAAGATGTAGTGATTCTGGCCATTGATTAAAAATAAAATGCTATCCCAGAGTGATTACTCTTTTATCAATGAAGGGTTATTGAGAAAATAATTGGGTGGTGGGGGGGAAATTGTACTTTATACAAAAGAAAACCAAAAGCTTCTGTAAATAGAAGCCTTTAATATGATAAAAGAATTTAACATCTCTCATGCTATGTTTAGGTTGCACGTTTTGGATGTCCTCAACTGATAAATTTGCCAGCTCTAAAATTATATAAACAGTTTAATCCCAATGCCATCCATCCATTGTTCAAATTTTTATCATCTTCTGCAGTGCCAATTTTTCCCTCTAAAATGTTAATCTATTATATACTTCCCTTTCCCCTATACTGTTACCAGTTTGTACAGCCTAAGTCAATACTCTCACTGCTTCTGTGTCTGTATTAATGAGAGGCACACACACCAGAGTATGGTTAAATGTAGAAGCTGCAATTTTAATAAACTATTAACCAACAAGGAACCCCTTCCCAAACTACCTGGCAAGGCTGTTCTAGTGTGGAATTTAACTGGGTTCCAGTGGCTCCAGCTTCTACAAATCTCACAGTGGATATGGGGGCAGTGCCCCCTTTACGCTCCCAGGCCTGCTCAGGGATCCTGGCAAGAAGTCAGAGTCCCAGCCCATTCCCCTCATCCACACTGGAGGTAGGAGAGATGAAGGGATCCAGACTGCACAAGGTATGGACCCCTTCACCATGCAAAGTTGTGCTTGAGGCCCATGCCCAAGAAGCACATTGAGTTAAGAACTTCATATAGGACTGTTTCTTAACTCCCTCCTTCCTCCCTACCCACTGGAACCAGCCAAAGTGGCAACATATGTAATATAAATCCCTAAATCAAACTGCTTGGATGTTTGATGGAAGGTGGAAAAAACCCCACGCAGTCTTTTGCCATGTAAGGGGAAAAAATTCCTTCCAGACCCCAAATAAAATTTGGCCATCAGCATAGCCCCTTAGGGATCTAGTATAGTAAGAGGGGGTAAGGGTGGGGTTGGAACAAAGCCAAAATGGCTACAGGCCAGCAGTGGGCAGAAACAACACTTCCTCTTCACCCTGCCTCTGCAGTTGGGAGCCAGTCAGTGGGTCTGCCCTGATCCAGCCATCCAATGGCAGCCGGAGTGTGTGGGTCAGACTCAGACCCTGTTAGAGCCAAGCCACTCCCTCCCCCTCCTGGAAGGGAAGAGGAGGGAAGACCAGTGGAAGCCCAAATTTCTGCCTTCATTCTCCACCCAAGGGAGGGGCAGCAACACAGAGAGTCAATAGGCCAGCATTTATGATCACCTCTAAACTAACAAAATAGTTTTGAAAGAGCGGTGAAGGCCTAGCACACGGGGGGAACGGACCCAATTTCGGTTTCAAGTTCCCAAAAGTTTATTATAAATAAAAATTAGTGTAAAAATATTTTAATGTAATGTATAGATACCTTGATGGTGGCTCTCCTTTATGATGAACAGGCCAGCTTTCTGACATGAACGCTTGGCTTCTTTGATTGGTCTTCTACTGAGAAAACTGGTTATTTCAAGCTCAGTTTCTTCTTTAAAAGTTTATGATGCATCTTTAGGTGGCTTTTTAAATAAACACTCAAAAATTTTACCTTAATTGGTCATTTGTTAGTTTAAAAAATTTGTATATAGGTGTAATCAATTTTATTGCCTGTATATTTGGATCAGGAAGAACAAAATTAATGATTTCCAGTTTATTAGGGTCATTTTGTGTCCTGGAATTCAGGTCTTCAGTTTAATTTTGTGGGAAGTGTGTCTGAATTTTCAAAGAAGCCCACGGGAGTTAGGCACCCAGATGCCATTTAAATTCAGTGGGAGGTAGACATGAATAGATTAAGTCAGGGGCAGGCAAACTTTTTAGCCTGAGGGCTGCATTGGGTTTGGAAATTGAATGGAGGGCCGGTTAGGGAGGGGAGTGTGGCCCGGCCTCTTCCCCCACCCCCCTTCTTGCCCCTTGATGCCCTGCCCCTGGAACCCCGACCATCCCTGGACCCTGCCCCATCCAATCCCCCTGTTCCCTGCCCTCTGACTGCCCTGACCCCTGTCCACACCACCACCCCAAACTCCCCTGCCTCTATCCAACCTCCCTGCCCCCTTACCGTGCTGCCTGGAGCACCGGTGGCTGGCAGCGCTACAACCGTGCTGCCCGGCTGCAGCCAGCCATGTCACTGCACAGCACAGAGCACCAGGTCAGGCCGGGCTCTGCAGCTGCGCTGCCCCAGGAGCTTGCAGCCTCACGGCCCAGAGCATTGCACTGGTGGCGGTGCAGTGAGCCGAGGCTGCGGAGGAGGGGGAACAGCAGGGGAGGGGCCAGGGGTTAGCCTCCCGGGCCAGGCACGAGGGTCCCGTGGGCCGTAGTTTGCTCACCTCTGGGTTAAGTCCACATAATGGCTCCCAATGATGATTACACAGTTTTCATATAGTAACAGAAGCACTTTTTCATCTACGTTTTGTTGCTAGATTGTGAGTCTGTTTCTTATTTCCAGAATTCTTACACTGGGACTGGGATTTCTTCTTATCCCTTTTCTGCCTGCAAGTAACCTGTTCTTCCGAGTAGGATTTGTTGTTGCAGAGAGAGTCCTCTATCTCCCCAGTATTGGCTATTGTGTGCTACTTACGTATGGCTTTAGTCTCTTGAGCAAACAAGCGAAGAAAAAGGTACTAACTAGCCGTCAATAAAACTGGTGACCAAGACTAGTGGAGGAGCTTTAATACGAAGATGACTGACCGGTATGTCCTTTCTTCCAGAAAGCGCTGGCTGCTGCTGTACTAGGAATCTTGCTGATCCACGTGCTGCACTGTGTTATCCGCAGTAACCAGTGGAGGTCTGAAGAACAGCTTTTTAGGAGTGCTCTGTCAGTGTGCCCTCTTAATGCTAAAGTAAGTTGGTCACACTCGCGTTTTATTTAGTGTATTAATATTCCATGTGGTAAATACGTTGCAGTATAGCATCTCATGTACAATGCTAGCCCGGTGAAAGCACAGCCTAAAATAGACGTCTACCTTATAATGAATGACAGCATCGTCGGCTTCTCAGCCAGTGCAAGTTACAGTGCTTTAATTCAAAACTGAAAAAGATGAAAATAAACTGGATGTCAGTGAAGACATCCAGTCAAATACAAAAAGACCAAATAATTAAATACATAACTAGTACCAGCTGTTGAAATAGTTGCATACAAAAGTGACTCTTTTCTGCAACAATCTCATGATCTGTGTAAAAAGAAAAATTAAACCATAAGAGTGTATTCAACTGATTTGCTGTCTGTGTTTTTAGAATCCTACTTTTGTCTACTTCAGTGGCATTAGTACACTCCTGCTTTTTCTCATGTTAGCTGTGCTGCCTCTACAGAGCGATGGGAGAATGAACTGAATCACTCATCTCAACAGAACTGTGGAGTCTGTGGGTGAGATCCTCACTCCTGCTCCTTGACATCTGTTAAAATGGCCACAACGATGAAAAGGGGCACAAAAAGCTTCCATTATGGACAGGGGATGATTTCCCCTGGTGGCAGGCACTGCAGAAAACAGCCAAAGGCTGCCTTCAGAGAATCCCCTTGCAAGGCCTGACTTAGGGGGAACGCTAGGGGTGAAGCTGGAGGGGACGTGTCAGTGCTGGGCATTGGAGCCCTATAGGGCAGCCCTGAGAGGCTGCCATAACTTAAACAGGTTCCCATGGCTATCTAGGTTTTGTTCAAGGTCTCTTTAGCTCCTGGAGCAGCCCAGTACCAGGAGGGTTCAAAGGTCCCTAAAAGCCACTGTAATTCCCCCACATCCTTGGGCTGCAAGTTCTGTGCTGCCACTCTAAGAGGCGCAGGGCAGAATATCACCTTTTAATACTAGCGTTGATGCAGAAGCCAGAAAGAATAAAGCTTCAATTTTGACCCCAGTTGAGTTTTAGGGCAGGCAGCGAGGAGGGAGTATTTGCCGTCTCTTTATTCGTAAACTATTATGTTTTTGCCATTTATTTTTGAAGTATAACTGCAGTTTAAATTTTATCCACCTTTTGCAAGTCCTAGTGGAGATTTCCATTGAGCAACATCCGTGTAGAAAAATACCTTACTAGCTTACAGAATTTCAGAGCTCTGTAGTCTAGAGCACTGCCTCAGAAAATGTGGATCAGGACCCCGAGGTCTTGTGGCTTTTAAATGAAATATTTGAATTTCCTTATTTAAAAAATATAATATAAATATTCAACTTGGAGAAGTGAAAAATATACAAATTAATTAGAGCTATAAAGGGGTCACCTTTAAAAAGGATCTTTTGCCAACATTTACAACAAGGTGGGGTTACCTCACCTACCACTATTTCCTAATCTCAGTAAATGAAAAAAAGTGTATCTGAGGTTCTTTTGTGTGGTAACTTTAGGCAAACATCTGCTTTGTAATGATGACTTCCAGATATCTCATTCTGGAGAATTAGTACATGCTGCAAAGTATAAATAAAACATGTTCAGTCTATCTCTTTGTGCCTGTTTGCACCCTGCTCAAAATGTTCTACCATAATGGGTTTGTGAGAGAGAATGTGTGGTTAGTAAAAAGAATGAGGAGTACTTGTGGCAATTTAGAGACTAACAAATTTATTTGGGCATAAGCTTTCGTGGGCTAAAACCCACTTCATCGGATGCATGCAGTGGAAAATACAGTAGGAACTCTGTGTATATATATCTTCCCACTGTATTTTCCACTGCATGCATCCAATGAAGTGGGTTTTAGCCCACGAAAGCTTATGCCCAAATAAATTTGTTAGTCTCTAAAATGCCACAAGTACTCCTCGTTCCTTTTGCTGATACAAACTAACACGGCTGCTACTCTGAAACCTGTGTGGTTACTGTTGATTAGTGGGGAGAAGAGACTCTGGTCCCCAGTCTAGAAGTCATCTTAAAATAAGGAGATGACTCTGCAGTCTTCATAGTTACAATTCCCAGATCTGTAGCTCCCCCCCTTCACCACTGGAATCGTATTAGCTTTTTAGGGGTTGTTTTCATAGTAACGGATTGCCAATCACAGCATATTTTGGAAAACTACTAAAGAATGTAAAAAAAACACTCGGGTATCATTATTCCATGATTGAAGAATTTTCACCCATTACCACAGAACTGTGCTCCACAAGCTGAACTTTTTTTCTGTCTGTCTTTCAAATTGTTTCCTATCCTCATAATTACAAAAGTAAATACGAAAATGGGAACCAGTCATAACTGATGCTATGCTGTCTTCCTGAGACTGCAGACAACATAGCTATTAGCACTGTAACCTGACCCATTCATCTCCCTGAAGTGTTAACTAGATCTCGTTGCAGCACCATCCATTATGAAGAGCTGGTACTTGTGCTTGATGGGAGGGCACAGTCGGAACTTGCTGAGATATTCCCTCCTCATCCCTTGATCTTGCCTCCTGCCATACACTTATCCCCCAATGACCTGGCTCCTCAAGGTCCAGAACAGAAACGACAGAGGTTGGTGATCATTCTTACAGCACCATCGTGGCCCAAGGCAGTTATTGTTCCATGATCTGCTCCACCTGTCTCTGTGACCACCTCTTCATCTCCTTCTGACAGCAGACCTCCTGACCCATCCCAAACTTTAAATGCTTCACCTCAGGGCTTGAAGACTCCTTGATGGATCTTAGGTGTAGAACAGGAGTGTTCTCCCAAGATTCAGACAGTACTGCTGAATAGTAGAAAACCCATCACAAGGAAAAATTACCTGCAAAAGTGGAAGCATTTCCAAGCCTGGTGTGCCCAATGGTCCACATCTCCTCTGGAGTCTCTCCTTAGAATCTTTATTACTTGCTAAATTTAAAAAGCCATGGGTTTGTCAATGAACTCTGTTAAGGTTCACCTAACTGCCATTACAGATTTTCACCCCCCAATCAAAGGGTTTTCAGTTTTCGCTCATTCTACCATGATGAGATTCCTTAAGTGTTTGTTTAACCTTTTTACTTACGTAAGGGAAGCTACTCTGCCTTGGGATCTTAATTCAGTCCTTAGTGCCTTAAGGAAAAAAAAAATTTTAAACTCTTGGCGAGTTGTTTGTTTCTTATAGCCCTCTGCTGGAAGGGTAGGAGAGCTAGGAGCACTTCTGGCTGAGACCATATACGGTGTTCTATTAAGGTGACTCTGTCTCCACCCTCATTTGCTACCTAAAGCTCTTCTGGCTTTCACATCAGTTGCCAGTGTTTTTTTACCCAAGTGTCACACCTCCAGAGAATAAGGCTGTCTTCATGTTCTGGATGAAAGTAGGGCTCTTGCTTCTACCTTCATAGGCCTAGGCCCTTCAGGGATTCTCACAGATTTTCTTTTGCAGAAAGATGCTAAGGACATCTGATTTCCACACAAAGATTATTGAAATGTGTTTTGGGATGCATTCTGGCATGCTATGTAGCTTTGGTGATACATTCCCCACCTAGGGCTAACTGCCCATTCCACTAGGGATCAATCCATCTCTGTAGCCATACTAGAGAACATACCTATCTTGGACACTTGCAGGCTGTCACCTGGACAGTAGTGCACAAATTTTCCCAGCACTATGCTATCATGTATGCTTCCACTGACATGGTTTTTGGCAATACGGTCTTAAATCTGCTCTACACTTGCCTCCTCAGCACCATACTCTGTATTGAGGCACTGCTCCAACATCTGCTCACACGGAGCATCCATAGGGGCAATAACTTGAAGGAGAGATTACTTACTTGTACAGAAAGTGGAGTTCTTTGAGATGTTTTGCCCCAGTGTGTGCTCCACTACCTACCCTCCTTCCCTTCTGCTCTGGAGTCCTTGGCTCTGGACTTCATGGTTGAGAGGGACCCAGAGTGGCCCTCCTCCCTGTATGCTCTCATTCTGGAGTATAAGAATATGTAGGGTGCAGACACTGCTGCCAAAACCTCTGATCAAAAGCACATAGGTGCGGTGCACACATCCTCACATGGAGCACCCGTAGAGACAAAACGTTTTGAAGAACTCCAGTTACTGTATGAGTAAGTAACGTCTCCTTATTGCTGTTCACTTTATCAGGATATTAAACCACCTCTTCCCCTCCTGAGCATTTGAGTCTGGGCTGCAGATTATCCTCTTTATAGATTTTAAAAATAACTCTCTTGGAAATGCTCAAATTGCAGACAATTTTAAGTTATGAATGTCTTGTTACTTTAGAAAACCACAAGCTGTTTCCTTCCTTTTAAGCAAAACTATAGCAATCTACGCAACACTGGTACCATGAACAATACTTATTTCTGAATAGTTTTCTCTAAATAAAACGTGTAGTTCTGCAAGAACACAGCCATTAAAGAGGTAGAAAATATTTATCCCTTTTTGCCTTTCAGAGGATAAATATGTCTGGCCGCAAGAATCATTTAAAACTAGTCCTGGAATTTTAACAGTTTACAGACTGCAAATTCTTTTCCTGTTGCTGGATTGTCTTTAGAAAACTCTAATTATTAAAAAATAAGAATTTTAATGAATTTATTTTTAACTCTTTCAAAATAATGAACAAGGAAGGTTTTTTGTTCGCAAATAGTCAGTGGCTTCATAAAGTCCTCTAATGGAGTAGTTTAGATGGCAATTAAGGGGCAGCTGGCTTATGTGTGTATTCAGCATCCAAAACTGCTTCGCCTTGGCTCTCAATGCATGCCTGTGTCTTTCGTCTGTTTTCAAGTGGTTGCTGACAGAAACGCTCTCAGGAACATCTCTAGGATAGTCTCTGGTATTCTGCCTCTCCCTTTGTCCATGCACCTACTGGGTGGTGGTTGTGCTAAGTCTGTACCTCCCGGGGTTCTGCCTCCACTTCATACTGTCTCAGCCTCTTCTCTAGTGAGATTGAATCATACACCTAGGCTATTCATCACACTGATCTCTAGAATTTCACCTCATAACATCTGATGTCACCC